GGATAAGGCTGCGTGCGAACTCACCTGCTGCGGGACTGGAGCAGTGTCCCGGTCAGGAGTGCACTACTGGGTAGCTTCCTGGGTATAGGCTAGGCCTAATTATAAACAATCAAGTCATCGGACTGATATACGTTTATTAATTCAATTGAATTATTCCTCCATGATTGAATTGACGTTGACAAAACCGTCTCTCTGTAACTGCGTACGTAAACAAACGATCACAAAAACTCACGACTTCACACTACTGGACGTACGTATTGTCTAAGCTAGTTGCTCGATCGTCGGGACGATTTTTCGATCAGCTGCTCGCCAAAAATTACTGGTCTTGAATATTAATGAGTTGGTTAGAAATGTATCAAGCTACCGAAAAAAGTGATCAGCCTCGTTTTCACCTGATTTTCCCGTCTCATCACATCATGTTTGGTTTCTCTAATTATCGTTACATCTCAACATTTTGAATTTTTGAAGTATTTTTCCCGAACTCAGGAAAGGTTAAATAAGCAATATATGGCCACTTGTCTTATCCCCGCACCCCCCCTTTAAATAATTCTGTTACAAACAATGAACCGTCATGCTAAATTTTTCTAAATTATGCTCAGTATATACACTATGCCAAATGCTATAGGGGTCTTAATAATGGCAAAAAGCATAATTAAGTGCTGCCTCAACATACAAGATACAAGATACTTTTATTGTCACTTATTGGAAAAATTCACAAGTAAAATTCTTTTTCCTGATGCACGTAAATTTAAATTTACATGTTTAATTTACATTTAATTTTAACATGTAAATTTAGTCCTTGCGACGAACATGTTTGTCTTTACGGGATAGATTTTCTGTACGGGGATTGATTCGCAATATGTACATAGAATCTTATGGGGTGGAATTGTCTGTTACATTGATGGATTTGTTTTTACATATGAATGGATTTGTCTTTACAGAAATGGAATTGTCCTTACACTGAAGTTTGTCTATTTTTGCCCTAATGGCTGCCCATAGCAGATGATCATGGATTTACCTTTCAGTGGCAAGTATCTCTGTGATTTACTTTCTCAGCTATGATCATTAATTAATTTAACACATAATAATAATAATAATAATAAGATTTATAAAGCACAAAATTTCACTATGTGTGGTGGTCTTTAAAACACCCCCTAATAATAATAATAATAATAATAATAATGTCACATTTATATAGCACATAATGCCGGCGCTTCTATGCGCTTAACATAAACAGAAAAGATAGAAAAAAAAATGAAAAAAGAACTAAAAGAAATAACCTAAAACTAACCAAGAACGCTATGAAAACCATCACCACCTTTTAAGCGCTCTATTGATTGTATGGAAAGGTGCTATTATAAATAAACTACACTGCATTACTATGTATTTTAAACATGAAATCGCACCTGATTACTTGTTAAATTTGAGAAGTTGAAAATTGAAAAAAGCTTATTACCATTGTCCTCTTCTCCCTGGGCATCTAAAGGTTGTAGTTCACCCTGATCAGCAGCATCTCTATCATTGCCTAAAACTGCAATACACACAGAGCCTTGATATTAATGTAATAGCTCAATGTATCATAACAACAAAATAAAGCTTGTTAGAAATCTCTAACAATAAAACTAGTCACCTATTGACTTCGCAAAACATTGTATGTAGAACTACATGTTTTTACACACATTGTAAACAATGGCAGTTGTTTTATATGTTTCTTATAATTAATTTATATTTTCTTGTAACCTTATGTACACTATTACAACATATACATTAAATTACAAGAAACATGGCAAATGTGTTATATTCTTCTTGTAATTTAATGTATATGTTACTGTAGTAATAGTTTATCATCTCATTTTGAACTGTTCTCTTAATACACGTCCTCCTGCAATGCAAGAATAATTCAATATCAGAGGTTCCAATTTTTAAGAAATCCCATTTACAAGAATGCTGTTAATACTTGGAATTGCTACTATAAAACTGTATAAATAAAATTCTTTTACATATATTAATTCTAAATATATAAATTATATAAACACATAAATTCTGTTAAAAATTTTTTTAAACAAAACTATTTTGGCTCTAATGGCTGCCCATAGCAGCCCATCATAGACTTTCATTAATGAGGTGGCATATCTCTGTGATTCACTTTCTCTGCTACGATTACACACATTTAATATAATTAAGTTTTATTTTTCCAAAATAGCATCAACATAATGAACTTCTAATCATTAGGATAGAAATGAAAACAATTTGAAATAGAATGGCTAACAAAACAAGTTATCAAAAAAATTATAATTTTTTAAATTTGTGTTCTTACCTTGATTACAACAAGCATTTCCAAGCTCAACCACGATTCTCTCTTTGTAAAAATAACATTTAGTAATTCTTACTTAAACAATATTAATTTTAAATTCCAAAATAAAGTATAATATCACCTAAAAATAAAATAAAATTTAAATATACATTAGACAAAATAATCATTAACTTGCTAACAATTTTCTGTCTTATAATCAAATGTATATTGTCTAAGAGTTATGGTTTGACCTAGGCTACTACTGTATGGCTACTGACAGGTACACTTTCTCCATTAAAGTCTTCTAAGAATGGAATGATCTCTACAAACCTGTACACCAAACCGATTACCATTTTTTGATTTTAATCATACAGGAAATTTACTCATAATACACAATAATTCATTATTGATGAAGTCATATTTTCTAAACGTAAATCAACTTCAAAAAGTAGTGTAATTTTTGTCTTCATCACTCTGGAATAAGTAAATATCACTACAACCTATATATGTTTGAGAACACAGCATGAATTATAGAAGCATGGATATTTTCAGTCCTTATCAGTAAAGTTTTTGAATAGTTAGCTGTATGAATACTTTTGCAGGGTTTTTTTTTTTTTTTTTAGTTCTAGTGAGTTCTGGTATTTTTTATTTACACCAACACTCAGTCAATAATTTATGCATTGAGTTTACAAAAAATCAATCATGTGAAATGAAATACTAGTAGCACTTAAAAGGTTTATATAACATAAAATATTAATGAAGTTGTCTTCTTACCTTGTACACGACGAGGACAGGACAGTACTAAATTTGCAACTTGAACAAAAAGAACGATGAATGTGAAAACACACATATTTAAAGGTTCATATATTGAATTAAACACTTGCGAGTGTCAGTCCCAATAAAGTCTTCTTTTTTTTTTCAGTACAAAAAAAAAAAAAAAACTAAATATGGCTTTGGAAATACAACTCCAATAGCGAGGTCACCAATTTAGGCCTATTATTTACAGCGCATTGAGAGCTTGCTTACTTGCGCTATGTAAGAATGAACTAATATTATTATTATTATTAGCTGGTAGTTTTTAATAGGCATGAAAGAACAAGCTCTTCCATGATTCTTCCTTTGTAAAAATAGCACTGAAGTTCATAGCTTTTTCACAACAAATTACGAATCGCTTGTTACACAATGCACATGGTCATCCTGTCATTGTGTTGTACCTCAGCAACATCCAAGGGGTGATCTTAGTGCAGCGACGAATTCAGGGGGTGGGTGCAGTTGGCCCGGGGCCTTAACTAAATTTTTCAAAATAAAAAAAAAATTGCGGGAGACTTTACATAGGGAAGTCCATAATACCTCAGACCCAACATGGTTGTGGTTAAGATGTGAACATTTTCAGAATATGGCTCCTCTAATGGCTGTAAATGCATAAACTCTGTACAGATGCAAGGGACATGAATGAAAAAACAAAATTACCATCTTAGGAAATTCATTTCTTGTACATTTATTTTGTAGAATACAGAGTATATTCCAGTCTTGTCGTATGCATGAGCTAATGCAGTAAAGAAATACGTGACTTTTAACTACATTTTACCAATGCAGGCGGGACCACTGGAAAACATTTTTTGGGTGACTCGCGCTAAATAGGGGACACTTAATATCCTGCACATGTTACACTTATCTTCAACAATCTCTCAATTCTAATTGAATGTTATTGTCCATAAGTAACATCCGAATTGGTTTAAAACTGGTGTAACAATAGTAATCTAATTGAGAATTGTAACATTACCATAGCCAAAAAATAAATTGAAGTAACAAACAATGTTCTTACCTTGATTATAACCTCTTCTTATGCAACACCATGCCATAAGAAATAATATACAAACTAGAAAAAAAAGAAGAATAGGTTGCTGGCAGTTAGTTGTAGGTCCTGTTAAGTATAGCCCAGATATTAACAAATCCAGGATTTTAACGGAGGCTACCAACATTTTTAGATGGTTTGAATCAACCTACCTCAGCCTAATTATTGTAGTGGTCCCCACATGATGGAGTATGGTTGAAAAATTAATATTTTCAGAGGTCTTACATAAAAGTATTCATTTAGGACAAATTACTAGGCTATAATCCCGGCTATTTCACAGTCATAAAAACATGCATGTTTAAAAAATTTTAGACGGCTAAAGCCTGCTTACCGTAAATCCTTTTAAGCGCAGCGGCACTTATAACATTTTAGAGGCTTCAGTGAGGCGCTTATTCAAGATTGGCATTTATTAACAAATATTGGCATGGCATTTTCCATGCCTGTTCCCATGTTACCTATCTCTCATATTCCTGTAGTTAGGTAGACATATCATAAGCCCTGCATCATCGTAAATAAATGTTTATAAAGATACTGTATGCTTGTCTTATTTGTGTTGCTATTCATTTGAACACTATATATTGTACTTATTACCGTTTCTCAATGTGCTTCATTACACAAAGTGCTTATTTACTTGAATCGAGAGCGACGCTTAGCGAAAAAAAATCATGTCTGGTGTGTCGCTTATTCGAGAGCAGCGTTTTAGTTTCAAAATATATATTTTAACCATAGGTTAAAAATCTTTGTGTAATTTTCAACTTGTGTTTATGAATGTCTATGTTAATAACAATGGCTTGTTTTTGATTTTCATTCTACTAAGAATTGTTCCTGATTTTATCATGTAGAGGGCAACTGAATATTAGCCTAGCTCAAATATTAAATTAATTTTGTTTCATGAATTTTGAGTGATAGATATATAGGTTAAAATTTATGAGCACACTATAAAAGATGAATAAAATTTAATTATTTCAGATGCAGAAGCAACAAACCTGTAACAAAAAATGCTATCACTGCTGGCAATACTGAACATTTGTGCTTTTGAAACCAACTTTTGTTTGTTGTTGTGTTTGGACTGCCATCAACTTGAAAAAAAAACAACAGAGTATTTATTTTATTAAAAAAAAGAATAGGAAGCTTAGATCAAATACATTATAATGGTAACAAGCACATAGCAATGGGAGGCTAATCAAATATTAAAATTAATGTTGCTGTAGATCAGACCTACTGACATATCATTCATATTTAAATCTAAACAACGGAAATAAATTCATTTGTTAATATCTAATTACACCCATGCAGAATTGCTCATTTCTAGTTGGTAGTATCAGTTTTCTCAATTTTTCTGTTTCTGATTTTCCTGCTTTGGTTAAGCTTAAATTACTAAATATTGTATTTTTGAGGCATGCACACATACACATTGTATTTTACCTGCAATTTAACTATATAAAAATATATTTTTACAGTTTTATATTTCAGCAGTAAGTATGATTTAATTAATTACTACATGTAATTCAACTGAATTATTGATTTAATAGCTTTTATAATTTTTGGGAACATGTGACCATTATCTGGGAGGTGTAATCCATATTAGCCCACCAACAAAAACCATCAATGTGCATTGAATTCTTACCTTGTTGGCTTTCTTCATTTCTTTCTTCAATTTTATCACAAATTGTAAAAGCTTGAAAAAAAACAAACCAGAAATAATGAAATCAAAATACTATAAAAAATTTGAATATATGAGCAGAGAACACCTTAAAGGCAGTCTAGTATAAGGTCTAAAACTTCTCAAAACAATCACAGTGAGATAAATCAGTGATACAGAAATTTAATTGTTTTTTTTTTTCTTTTTGTTTTTTCCTTTGTTTTGACCTTAATTCTGTTTTTTGTTTAAGATTTTACTACTGCTTCCTTAAAGAATTTTTGTCTAACTGCACCATGGCAGTAAATTAAGTTTTGAAGTACATACTTCTATGAACACAATGTTGTAGTCATTATACATTTCCTTCATTCATTTTTGGAATTAACATCAGACGATTATTAAATAATTAATGGTACAACCATTTTTTGGTTGTATGAACCCAAAAACTTGGTTATTTCTATGAGCAAAATGTTGTAGTCATTGTACATTTGTGGCAAAGACAAGCCAAACCAGTCACTCATCGCAAATCGTGTTTCAGAGAAAATGGCTAAAACATGCTGGAATGTCAAATTTTTTAAAATCTATTTTATTGCACTAAACTAACCTTTATACATATATCTACACATCATTCTATGCTGTTATTTCCCCCATTTTCAATGTTAAAACAATACTTTTTAAGGATTTAAAGATAGTTTCTGCATGAGAAATGCCTGAAATCATAAACTTTGACGGTTAATTTCTCATATATTGTTCTTTAAACAGCTGTGTGGTTAAACGCTTGTAACTTCATAAGGAAATGCCCGATTTGAATGATTTTTTTACCATTTTATAGCTATTATTTTACTCTCTAACACTGTATTAATAACCCAAAATCGATTTTTGCGATGAGTGACTGGTTTGGCTTGTCTTTGCCACATTTCCTTTATTCATTTTTTTTGGAATTAACATCAGATGACTATTTAAAAATTAATTGTACAACCATTTTTAAGTTGTGTTGTGACCCACATAATATATAAATCAAGGTATTAACATGGACCATGCTGTACACAGGGGAAATTATTACTAGTTATGCAATCAGCCTGCAGTCAGCTTGATGGAATAGAAGCAAGGAAAAAAGTACATGGTATATGCAGTTTATCCATTTTAAGATGCTGTTCTATAGAAAATTTATGCAATTTGTATGCAAGTGTCCAATTTATAAAATTTCAAAATTTTGATTTATCAGTCATGACTAAATTACAATAAATTTCTGATGGTAACTCTGAAACAACTATGAAAACCATGGATTTCTCCCTGGAATGGTACATTTTGGAAATGAAATTTGTCATTAAAATTTAAATTGGCAGTACCATCTGTATCTGCCATAAATATCATGGAAAATTGCATGACAACAAACCTATATAAAATAAAATTCCTGCAATGCCTGTAATCATGGTTGTAATGGCCGATATTAGCAATATATCCTTACGGTGTTCTTTCCAAATTGGACTACCAACATCTAGAAAATAGTCAAAAAGGTCAATTATTATTAATTTCATGACAAAGGCTAAATTTACACTCTAAATTCAGCATGCCTATATAAGTCTAGAGAAGATAGCTACAGGATCCAGTCTAGGTAAGATAATGATGATGTGAACTTTTAAATCCGATATTTTTATTGAACCATTTGATCCATGAGATATAGGTTACTCATACAGTAAGTTGATAGTAAACATAAAATAGTGTATGCCTAGTTTTACAATTATTTAATCAGCAGGATGTGTGGATCTTCAATAATCAATAAAAAAAACATGGTGTTCAGACTTGGTAGCTACTTTGTTTATGGTGTATGGTTCTAGAAAACAATAAATAGTTTAACACCTGACCAGTCAAGGGGAACATAAAGTGCAAGTTTATATAGAAGATACAATTACAATGCAGAAAGGTACAGAGGATGGCATAGAAAAGGAAGTCCAAAGTTTATATGAAAAGATATGCAGAAGAAAGAAAGCAGTAAGGTTGGTCTAAACATTGATACCTCCATGGTCTAAATGAGGAGTATGCTCAAGATGGGAAGAAGTGGAAGATGGGAGCATCACCATGGCGTGAAAGTCAGTAACCTTTCATAAGAGGGAAAATGCTGACTTAAATAAATTATAATGAATTAATGCCAATCCTACCTAGACAAGCAGAATGCCATCTGTTTCAGGAAAAATCAGGAACTTTAACTAAGTGTTAATACAAAATTACCTAAATACCAGCAGTGGCATGTGAGAATGTTTTGTTTGCTTTTCCCACAGGACAATACGGTTTACTTGACAATACGGTTTCTGGACAAAATGTCAAAAACCCAAAATGGCAGTGACCAAAACAGCAATGACCAAAACGTCAATAAACCAAAATGGCAATGATAAGTATTAAAATGACAACAGACCAAAACGGCAATGTCAACTACCAAAACAGCAACATACTTAGACCAAAACGGCAAAGGAGCAAAATTCGATGCCAAGACTAAAGCGCCACCGGGCGCGGGCAGCAGTTTATAATTTTATAATCGTTTTTTTTTTTTTTTTTTTTTTTACACATCCATGACGAATTATTTTGTTATTTTAAAGTGTTACTTATTATTATTATTTTTTCTTTCCCATTTTTTACTTTCATGACATAAATTGTTTAGCCTCATTAATTATCTGTATTTTAAGGTTTTAATTATTTAAATGTTCACTGGTTTTATATTGTATATAATTATATATTGTTTAATTTCCCAATCTTTCTTACTACTGAATTTGTACGTTGTATTGTTGTTGTTATTATTACTATTATTATTTTATTATTATTATTATTATTATTAATGTTGTTACTCTTTAAAGTGTTTTTTTTTTCTTTCGCACATTTTTACTTTTATGACATAGATTGTTTAGCCTCATTTGGTCTATATTTTAAAGTTTTAATTATTTAAATACTTACTACTTGTGATTCCCCAATTTTTTTACTATTGAATTTTGTTATACTATTCTGGAAGTGTTGCCGTTTTGGTTTATTGCCGTTTTGAATTATTGCAGTTTTGGTCTTGCCGTTTTGACTTATTGCCGTTTTGCCTTTGGTCCATTGCCATATCTGGTCTAAAAGCGTTGCCGTTTTGGTTTTTTGCCGTTTTAGTCATTGCTGTTTTGACTTAGGCCTATTGTCGTTTTGGTTTTTTGCCGTTTTTACCTGTTCCCGACAATATGCATAATTATTATAAAAGCCATGTTTCAGATTTCACCAACCCATCATCAGTAGTGAACATAAAAAACAACTGATGAGGGTTTGGTGAAACCCGAAACATGTCTTACTAAATCTTTTACAGCAGTATGTGTGAAATTTTTTGTGTACGTCCATTTGGTTCAATATTATCAAGGATTTCAATTAAAGAAGTTTACCTCTTCCTTTATTAAATTCAATCGATCGAATTGACTGAAAACATGAATAGAAAAACGTGTTCCATACAGCACGGCCGAAACGAAAGGGTCCTAGGCCTAGGGCCTAATTACAGACTACTACTACTCTAGGCGTGCCTAGCCTAGTACAGAGAGGTAAGATTAGGCCTAGGCCTAGCATACCCTAATCTTACAGATACCTGATATACTAGTACTTATATTTATAATTATATTACCAGCGCTAGGCGTACTGTTAGTAGTAGGTCCAGACATTTCACTAATAATTATCTACGATCAAACCTGATCAAACAACAAGGTGATTTTTCCCGCGCGTGTGGATTTGCTGTAGCTCTATGGGAATTTCCGACTTTCAACTTACATTGGTGGCGCTAATCTGTAACAAATTTAGTTTGCATGGCTTTTTCTGGAAGTTAACACTGTCGACGCCAATGGGAGGCGAAAGAAGGGGAGGGGGGGGGGAGGAAGAAATGTTCCCTTCTGTCTGGTACTAAAACGAGGTCGTCGACTGAAATATCATTTTACCGATCCAAGCACAATTTTGGGCATTAAGGAGGTATACGGTTCAGCCAGATTCAGACGAATTTTTTCACGTCATGAAAGATTCATATTCCGAATTTTTGAATTTTTTTAGTGTCATAAATATAATATATATTTTTTTGTAAGTAGTAAAATAATGTTTATAATGTATAATAATGTGATTTAATAACAATTAAAAGATGTTAAAACATTTTTCTAAATAAGCTGTTATATAGTGAAATTTTATAAAAATTAATTATTTTAATTAAACAACGTTCTACTTATGTCTCAAAAAAAGGATATCCGGGGGGTGTCAGAAGATCTGGGGCCCCGGTTTTTAAGGAGCTGTGATTGGGTTATGCTGTATCCGTGTTCTCATTGGATTAACGTTGGTCAAATTAACTATGAACCTAGTCAATTTGACCAAAACAATAATTCTAGTGCGTAATATCTTGATATATATTACAGTAGGCAAGTACTCACAAATGTACCCTGAAAAATTCTGCAACCACACGACATCGCCCGCCAATCCATTCCGTAGATTAAGGCTGGGCAATTCTGATTAAAACATTTAATCATTTTAGAATTTTCAGCGAACATTATTATTAAACGAACAGTCGTTAAATAGTAACTTTGGCTCAGAGCCATAGATAGAATAGAGTTGCGACATTGAGAATTTAGAAGCCATTCTGTATCCAATGCGATGATCCGCGTTCTGTGTCCAACGCGATGTGCGCTCTGGTTAATTTAATTTAATCTTTTTAGCAGTTAAATTTCATGTAACTATATTTATAGATATACTTTTTATGATTTTACTACTTTATATCCAATTTTATATTATATACTGTATTAATTTACTATTTTTAACCAGTACTTTAATTCTTATGGCAAGCATTCTTCAATCAAGCAATTCTGCCCTAGACCCTTAAGTGGCTCCTGCTATTTTGGTGAAAATAAATGATATATGATGACCAGCAAAAATTAATCAAATATGTCTATCAAAATGTAATTAAGATTTTAGGTTTATGCACATTATAGGATGATAATGATGATGAAGATTAGTTAGGCCTACTCTTTTATAATATTTTCGATTACATTTATGTTGTTATTTAATGTGTGTGGGAAAACGAAAATAAAACAACAGAATATCCTAGTAATTTTCCTTGAATTTTGCAAAGAGAAACAAGTGATTTTCGAAATCATAATCAAATAAACAAATGATATCATATAACTAAAGGTTTCTTTGCCAAAAATCACTCCTATTATTATTATTTATAGTAATAAAATATTAAAATAGTATATGTGAAGTGAGCAGCATGACTTTCGTTCACAAATTGAGAGTAGACCTGCTCCAAATTATCACCGTCAGAAATTATTGTTTTTAAAAAGTAAAGGGCAATCCGTTGTCTCCTTAATTCATTGGTCTTGTTACCGTATCGTTTTTTTCCTGCCCGCTTTATTAAAAACAAAAACAGTGTTGGCAGTCCAATATTGAACAGCCAGTATCATTACGTTTAGTCTTCGCCGGCTTTGATTTCAATGATCCGTACGTCAAAACTAGATTGTTGTTCTTTAAAATTGAATATGAGCGAGCCCTACTAATTTTATATTATTATTAATTTGATTATTGTTATTTATAAATACTAAAACAGTAAGTAAAGAGCAAATCATAACTTTTTTGAAAAGAAAGGCAGGTCTTTTCAGTCATAGAATAGACGAACCAATAACATTCCAATTTTAATTTCTATGTAATTCGCATTTAACAAGCACGCGTGAACACGTGCCATTATTCAAAATATTAAAAATAAATTCTAAATCACGCTTTTGATATTAAATACAGTAGTTATTAATTAAGTAATAACATCATAAACACAATTAAACATGTAAAAATACTGTGTAATGTAGGCCTACCTAACTCATAGGCCCTATAGGCCTACTTATCATGTGTTCGTCGGGAAGATTTCGACACAAAAATGGACTGTGTGTACCACGTGACTTTCGCAAACCGAGGAGCGGAATGCCGCAAACTCTGTGGCTCTGGGGTGGTGAGGGGAGAACACTCACCCCCCCCCCCCTGTCGGGTATAAAATACACTTCGTCGGGCAGAAAATACGCTTCGTCGGGGAAAAGAAATAATTATATTTACATAAATTTAGATAGGCCTAGGCCATGACTATCAGAATCGATAATTAGATAGGCCACCGTATTACAGTACATAGTTTCCATCCGGGGCTAGCCCTTGGGTCACTTCCTAGAGATTTAGACGCCCAATGCCCACTTACGCTCTCGTCGGGAAGTCGGCCCCCACACCCTATTGTCGGGAACATCTGACCCCGGTTGGGAAAATCCTGGTGAAAACCCCTGAAACACAGATTTCACAACACAGTTTTTTAGATAATAAATAGGCCCCATATTAACTAGTGTTTAATATCCGTCTCAGCGGATGCACTACGGTATCTTTTAAGGCCTAAAACTGTATTTTTCTTATATTTAACGTATTTTATAGTATTATCTTTTTTTTTATGTAGGCCTAAATTCCGTGGCTTGTATTATGTTCGTATGACTTGCCTTATGATAACAAAATAATGGCATCTAAATCTGACTGTGACACGAATAGGTCCTACCATATGCTTATACAAATGCCGTAGCAGGATTTTCAAACAGTGTGGGACAATCAGGGTGGCCCCACTTTACGCATAAATTCAATATGCTAAATATGAGGAATCTGGACCCATTTTTCAAAAAGTGGACACATTTTATGCATTAAATTACATTTTGGACCCACTGTTTTTAAAAATGTGGACCCATTCTTTGTGGACCCATTAGAAACATTGCGTGGGACTGTCCCAACCGTGTCCCAGCTGGCTACGGCATACAAAATGCAGTGCACTGTGTGGCAGAAGTGGGTGAGAAGGAGGTCAGGAGTCAGTGTGTTCCCCTGGAGCTGTAGAGCAAACCGTGACAATCTTGTTTCAAATACAAACATGTGTAAATAAACAATAAGGCACTTAATAAATGGTCAGTGTAGTGTCATGCTGACATCCCCCTGCTATCTCTAGATTTTATGTGGGACCAGTAAAAGGCTGTGAATGGCATAACGGAGATCGATAGGGACAAATGAATACTGAAATGAATGTGAAAAATCTGGACCATTTTCTTAAATTTCACACATTGTAGAATTGAGAAATCTGGACCCATATTTCAAAAAGTAGACCAATTTTATGCATAAAATTACATAATTTTCAGGCCCGTAAGCAGGTTGGGTGCAGAGGGTGCGGACGCACCCCCCCCCCCCAATTCCAAAATGTCCAATTTTTAAAACCTATGATTTCACAAAATCGTTCCTTAATTATCATAAAATGCTGTGGCATGCATTGCGTTATATATTTGCCAGCTTATCTAACCGTTGATTTTTAATAATGTGGCATGGTATGAAATTTGTTATAAATTGATCGTCTCCGGTGATTGCAATGAAGAATGTTATTTATAGGATTTACGGGACATAATAACATTACTTTTCAGGTCCCAAAAACACCCAAATTAATGAAAATTTAAATGAAATATTTATGAATTATGTGTTTGAGAAATCTATTATGCAAGACCCTCAAAACAATGCTTTGTCGCTTTTCTCACAAACCTCTTCCAGGCCTCTGCCCCTGGACCACCAAATTTCAAAAAGTTCACTTTTTAAAACCTACTATTTCACTAAAATCGTTCCTATTATCGCGAAATGCTATAGTATATATGCATTACACTTTTTTGCCTGCTCTTCTACCCGTTGATTTTTAATAATGTGCTACGAAATCTGTTGGAAATCAGCTCCGGCAGTGATTGCAGATTGATCCATGTCATCTCTAGGCCTACAGACATGAAAACTGACAATTTCACAGTGGTGGATTCAAGGAGGGGGAAGCCCCCTAAAATTATAAAAGAAGGAAAAAGAAAAATCATAATTAACGTTTGTCTAAGAGTACCATTTCCGGCCATTTTGAGGTGCCATAATCATAAATGTTGTGTAGGTAGCTAGAATACTCAAATGAATGAAAATTTAAATAGGATACCGTATTACAAATTATGGATTTTAGAAATCCATTAAAAAAGGCCCTCAAAATGCTAATTTGTCAGGGCTTCCAGAAGATTCGCCCCACCCTCGCGGGGATCCCTAGACCCCATCGTAAGGTCCACTTTGGTTGCAAAACGCACCTCCCCATCGAAAATCCTGCCTACGGGCCTGATTTGGACCCATTTTTAAAAATGTGGACCCATTAGAAAATTGTGTGGGACTGTCCCAGATGTCCCAATAGCTGGCTACGGCATTGCTTATTTAGTCAAAACACAAAGTCTAACTTGTAATAGAAATACAAAATGCAGTGCACTGTGTGGCAGAAAATGAGACTATTAAAATAATGCTTATATAAGGGAGTCAAGTTATTCCCTTGTGGGTGAGGAGGTCATGACTCAGTGTGTTCCCCTGGAGCTGTAAAGTAGACCGTGACAATTCTTGTTTCAAATACAAACGTGTAAATAAACAATAATGCACTTATTAAATGGTCAGTGTAGTGTCATGCTGATATCCCACGGCCTGTTATCTCTAGATTTTATGTGGGACCAGTAGAGGACTGTGAATGGCATAACGGAGATCGATAGGGACAAATGAATACTGGTTGCGAAGGAGCTTTCATTAACGTCGCCAAGGTTTAACAGTACACAATCGCTTTAGAATGAATAACAAAGGTGAAGAGGTTCGATACATCAGCTCAACGAATGCAAGTGTGTAAGCCTATTATGATTTTGGAGTGAGTCAAGTGCATCACCCTACTCTACGTTGGTAAGCATTATTATTTTAGCAGGTGGCTTGCGTTTAATAGCATATAACAGGTCTAATAACAGGAAATTAATTTTATGAGAAACGAGATTGGCTACGGCAAGATGCTTTTGAAGCTTATAATATTAGATACTTATATTTGATTAAAACTTGTATCATTGTCTGTTGAAAAGAAAAAAGATTTATATCATTGTTGTGGTTGTGATTATGACCAAGAATTCAAACAAACCAATGGCTTTTTAAAACACATTATTGATGGCTGATAAAATGGATGGGAAGTAATTGGCATAGGCAAGGTGCTTGTACAAAAAATGTTCTGTTTATCAAGCATATTTTACGTTCACTTGAATTGATCTTTATTATGGCCTGTATGACATTGGCCTTACACAATTTTTATAAAATATGGTTCAACCGTGCAGATTATCAGAAAGGAAGGAGTTCGACTTATTAATGGAGCTATGGGCAGCAGATGAAAAACTAGAAGAAAACATTCCCAACTCGAATTTTACAACAGTTTTCGGTGAGATCTGCGGCTGGATCCCGGATTTCAGAATCAATTATCGTAACACAAACGAACCAGTGCAAAATCGGACACCAAAATCCTTCGATTTTTCAAGAAGGCATCTTCTCCTTGGTTATGCGCCGACGTCGACCATAGATTACGATTTTCGCCATTATAACAATACGAAGAAATACATTGAGCAATATAGGCGGCATCACACATGCTGCGGACCCCTTGAAAAACTTACTCAAGCGGCGATTGGCGGGCGATATCGGACCGTCTACTACGCCGGAGCAGCTACGCATAATGCTGGCTTAAGGATAGATCAACGCGTATCACAAAGTAGAACTTTTGAAGAATCCTCAGATAAGCTGCGGAATCACCTTTCACACAACTTTGACGAGTCAGAGTTCGCCTCTCTAGAAAGTGTTCTCGGTAAAAAGCAATTTTCAGCGCTAGGAATTCCGCTGACGGTTGAAGTGCTTCGGCGACATGCAATCGAAGCCCAGTCATGTTCTTCCCAAATGAACAGACCCAAACATATTCACGAAATGCCAAGTACAGCAGCTCTTAGGAAAAACAATCTGAATCTCACCCCAGGGAGAGAAACTCCTCCTTGCCCACAGTTACCGTACTTTCCAACTCAGACGCCAAAACATGCACCTCATATTCTCCATGATAGACTCGGGTAAGTATAGCTGAGTGTGCTATAATTATTTCTTTTAAATAAACAATTTGTCATATTTGTCTTTCATATTGTTTCACTTATACTCCTTTTAGGAGATTTATTCTATGGGATTTTTATTTTGCATCCACTTCTTATTTTGTGATAATTTTCATTTTGTTTGTTGTGACCATCAGCTTTTTGTCGAACCGTGGAAAAACCCTGAACCTAAGTAAGCGGGTAATGTTTCTACGACTCGCCTTTGAACGGCGATAAACCGAGAACGGGCAGACCTGTACTGCGTACCTCTAAGCATTAGCGTGCACGACAGCCACATCACTCCTTCACACACGTCGAGTCGATGCCCGCTCTGGGCTGATATTGCACTACTTTCGTTTGCTGTCTTCACTGGTTTGTATTGTATTATAAGTTATTATTGCCAATGTAAAAGCATGATCACGCTATGTTACTTAAATTGGCTAACAACATTGTATAACTTTGTTTTTGTTTTTGTTGTTTTTTGTTCTTTTTAATTTCACTGATTTGTTTTGTTTGTATTAAACATTGCATGTAAATTAATAAAATATGATGAAAATATATGCAATCATTACCAAATTACACGGTTTAATCTTATACCCACCTCATTTCCAAACCATGTAGTACCCAGGGGGCGGATTTAGAGGGAGGCCGGACTGGCCCAGGCCCCACCCTTTTTGAAAAGTCAAAAACAAAAAAGAAAAAAAGAAAAAGAAGGAAGGAAAAAGAAATAATTGATTGCCCAAAACGCCTCAGAGGTTATTTTCGGGCGTCTAGAAAACAAAAATTTTGCGGACCTCCTGCAGTTGTTGTCTCGATCGGCCACACTTTCGGACATCTCTGGATCGGCCCCGTACCAATTGTTTTTTGCTTAAGAAGTTACTCCAAAAACGGAGTGTCTAGTCTGCGCTCGCCGCCAACCCTCTGAGTTTTAGCGTAAATATACGGTACGCGCCGAGGCGCGAATACTCCAATTTTGGAGGTTTTGTGCTCTAAACTTATTATCAATTAAAGAAACTCTCTCTATCCAGAGAGATCAAAACTTTTTATCAACCCTCCGATATCGGAGTTTTTGCGTACTATACGCGAAAAATGCATTGAATCGGAGTTTTAAAATAATCAACCCTCCGATTTCCGAGTTTTTGCATACATTATTTTACCCAAAAACTCCGAAATTTGAGGGTTGATTAAAAGTTTTGAAACTCTGATTTTGGAGTTTTCCCGTATAGTACGAAGAAACTTCCAAAATCCGATCTTTTCGACGGGCGCAGACACTCTGAAGTAACTAAATTGAAGTAACTACATTCATACATGCACTGTTTCTCTCAGAAGTCTTCATTGGTTGATTTCATGAATGGTAAGTGCTAACACATCGACATCTTCATATGGGGACAGGCCTTTTTCCTTTGCTGCTCCAAAACTCTGGAACAGTCTTCCATATGAAATCCGTGCAGCAACACCTGTCAGCATTTGCAAAACTAAACTCAAACGCATCATCATCATCATCATCATCATCATCATCATCATCATCATCATTATCACCATTATTATTATTATTATTATTATTATTATTATTATTATTATTATTATTATTATTATTATTATTATTATTATTATTTCATTTAATTTTCAGGATGCTTGGTTATCTAACTGGAGATACATGCAAACACAGGCCATCACATCCATACGACCTCTATTCACGCCTAATCAACGCCGTCACGTATTTACGTGCTGTCAAAGATAAGGTAACTATTAAAGCATGTCAAACTCACCTCCGCTACTTAGCACCTTGCAAGCAACAGTGAGCAACTGTTAGAAACTGTGAGACGGTGAGAGCGCAACGCAACTGAAAACCGCAGTTACTCTCTGTTGCTCTCAGCGTACAAACCTTTCAATATCAAGGTATAGTGCCAGTTTGCCGAATGCCAAATTGTCGACTCCACTCTGAGGAATATCTGTATTCCGAATGACACATTGCAGATTTAACTGTTGTCATGAATCCAACTATGTGCCATATCCAACCCCGAAAACAAAACGCCGTTACGTTCGCGAAAGTTGTAAAAGGTATCTGTCATGAAAACGTTAGTATCACGCTGCAGCAACGTTTACAGTGTTTTTGTCAGAAATGACGTTATAAGTACATACATAAGTACAAAAATACAAAATAATTAGTTTTCAATACAAAACTGTAACACGTTCAATCATTCCGCATATCATATCGAAATTTGGCATATTAAGTTTCGGCTAGTCCTGCGTCGGCACAAGTTGGGATTTGAGAGTGAGCACTTCCATTCAACAATTCGTTGATCTCTCATTCGAATTTCGGCAAACTGGCCTAATTACCAAAGTTTTGGACGATCTTTAATTTTTAAATCTTTGCTGTTTTTAGGATTCCCACGTAGGCTTAATCAACGATAGTTTAATTCCCATTCGAAGCAAGTCACCAAACTTAGGCAACGTTTGGGTCCGCGGCAAACGATTGATGACTCCTGGGATTGTTGGTGATGAAGATAGCATTTCAGATGTCGGTTTACCTTCTTTACTATCAAAACCAAAACCTCCAGCAACTCACCATATAGGTCTCAAGCTTCCGGTGTTTATGCGCAGAAAGCGCACTACACAAACGATACCATCGTCTAAAGCGATACGTGAAGGACGTGACAAAATGTATAGGCTGTCTCTGAAAGGAAACGCAACAGGAAAGAAAGTTGACGCAACGACGTGTGGGAGTAATGAGATATGTAGGAGAACACCAACTGTGTGCCAGGGGGTATGTGTTAGAATAGCATTTAGTACTTATTATATTTTGAGTAGCACAACTCAAAACATGCAATGACCTAAAGATATAACTATATTATTATATTTTAAATTAAATTTAGAATGATTAGATTAGAAAATATAGAAATACGCACATCAATTGTAAATGAAGGAAAATAGCGTACGCTTTGCTAGTTTTCATACAGGCCTACTTACTTGTGTCTGCGACTTTATTTTTATGTGGATACAGTGTGACAACATGAGTACACACACACGCGTAATTTTGAACAAGATAACCGTAGTATTGGAATAAACGCCCCGCTTTGAATAAACGAATAAAAAAAACCCTATTTTATTTTAGAAACCCCCCCACCCCCCTCATGTGACTAAACAAATCTAATGGAAGCAACATCATTCTTAACACATTCTATTAATGCTCTACTCCAGTAGAATTGGCATATAACCTAGTTGGGATCAATAGGTCTTTATGATTACACAATGTTTTGACGATAATTATGTGTTGTAGTTCCACATTTAGGCCTACAGTGAAATTGACAGACGTTTAATTGAGTGTACGTATCAATTTTACACTAAAAAATGAAAGCTTCCCTCTAATAAACGGCCCCTCAAAACCCCTTCTCAAAAATAAACGTCTCGTGGCCTTTATTCGAATAACAGTAAAGGTCTTTTTTGACTTGAACAAACACCGCGAGTAAAAACATAAACACAATAATCAGCATACTTCTAGAAAGGCTTAAGTATTGTCATTCATTTGCTAAAATGCTAAAGTTAAACCTGCACAAAACGGCAATGTTGTTGAGGGACAACATAGGCCTGTACTGTACAATTAGTTTTGTATTATAATCATACTAATACAAGTCAATTAAGCATCGTTTAATAGCACTAGATGAGATTTACAAAATATTATTTCTAATGTCTTTTTAATTTTCTTTTCCTGTGTAATTAATTATAGCGAGGAAATTCAACAAATTGTTGAATTGCCTTGGTTATAGCGACCTCTGATATATACTTTGTTTTACTCTTACAGGTTTGGTTTGATTGTAATGAAAGTATAAGATCTGAGTCGACTGGAGTGAAAGGTTAACGAATAGAACAAGCCCCAAATATATTACAGAGTTTACATGCCACGTGATATCTATTATGCACTACGATATCTATATATAATATTAGAATATTTAATATATAATATAGAATAATAGAATATTTTAATTTTTTACTGCCCATGATACAAAATAATTTCAATTAATTATTACTTTTTTCAAATACATATAATAAAAACACATGGATAATTGCCAACCAGAGTGTGATATATTCGATTTTAAATATATTTTTAAATATTATTTAATAATTATATAATCTAAAATATATTATTAGAAATTGTTCCATAATAATTAATGTGCAAAGTTTATGTTATTTGATTTTTGTTATGTTTGGAGCTGAATTGAATGTTTATATTGTCACGTCTACAATTCAGTATATATTACATTTTTGCTGTGGACACTTAATAAACAGACATTAAAACATATAAAGGACGTATATAAAAAATAAATTATATTTCACCTAAGAGTTATAATTAAGATTTCATTCTACATCTTCAAGATTCAAAGACGCAGCATGTATCATGTTTGTCTCTTTAGTTGAACTACACAGGCGATGTGTGTATAATTATTATAAATATTAATATTATTATTAATATTTTGTTGCTGATGATAAGAAATTTTAGCTACAGTAATTTTTTGCCTCCTAATTGCTACTGAAGATTACTGTGATAATATGAAAGTTATAATATTATATGCGCGAGTTGATACAAATTCAAATGACATTTTAAATGACACAATGCAACTAAACTAAGACGATATAGCTATAATATTTTGTACAACCTTTTATTCTGTTTAAACAAGGAAAGAGTGATTAAACCATTAATATACGGAAAGAATGTCATATGCAAGGCCCAAATTAGAACCTTCAATGCATAGCATAACATACATGTTGTACACACCATTAATGTAGCACTGTAACATGCACATGATTTGTGGGAGTTCTGATAGGGTATTATAAGTGAATCTTAACAGACATTATTAATATCACCACTACAACAATGCACAATCGCCAGAATAGTAATGCCATTAACCGATACAACAAACTTCACTAATTGCACCTTTTTCATCAATTTATGTAGACAACTCTTCGATAAACTTCCCACAACATCATCATCATCTCAACTACATTTCTCTCATAATAAACAATATATCCATACACCTATATGTACAGTTGCACCTCCTACTAGTAGCACCATCTTTTTAAAATGATAACATCCTCATGATACCTTCCTCAAATCAATACTATTTCATTATCAATCAATCAACACAATCCAAAAAAAAAAAATATCAGTTGTGTTCTATATCGAGCATGTTAGCATCTCACTACATGGATGCTTTACAAGGCCAAACAAATTTTCTGGAAACCTTCCAAACTGCTATGTATGATTCAATTACTGCATGATCCAAATTATGTCACCAATAACATATGTAATTGGTATATTGTAAATCTACAAACATCAATATAATTTATAGCATTATTGTAATTATAATTTATTTCATTTTCTATAAATTTAGTTTCCATCTTTCCATCTAATTCAAAGTTAACATTGCTTAACGATGAGGATGTACTTAAAAGCAGCATCAATTTTCGATTGGCAGTACAATGAAAGTTGTAACAAAGAAGTATTTATGATTAAATAGATTTATAAGTTACTTAAAAAAACACAAAATAATTGTTTAAGCATTCTCTGAATACATTAATTGGCTTCACAATTATCAAATACTGGCATCTTGATTGGCAGTTGTATTTTTTTTTAAACATTTGCCAGCATTTCTTCTTTCTCTGCTTACCAGGAACAGAGAGAACCCTGCTACTCTAACAATACATCAAAGTGTTGAGATTGGTAGTGACTCACTGACCAATACACCAAGGAAAACAATACTTATTTTGATGACAGACCATTATCAAATTAACTACTACCGGAGTTTGCCACATTTGTGCCATCGCTTGTGATGTCAGGCATTAGGTTGTCATAGCTATTACTGCTTTCCTGTATATTTTGTTGATTACTTGTGGCGCTGGGTTTGCATTTCTCGCTGTCTGCTTTCTTTTTTGAAGCCGTTTCTTTAAATGTCCGTGGCAGGCTGTTAGATTTATGAATGTTTAATTTTTTTTGCGACTTTGTTCTAGGTTCAACTCGTCTGAATGGGGATGTCTCGCTAAAGCTGATTGGTGGACTGGACATGACACTGTGTGATAGATTCTCTGTTTTCACCGGATCCTTAAGAGAAGGAATTTCCATTCTGAGTTCATTCAATGACGGTTTTCTTATTTCAAAGTCAATATTTAAAGTTGTTTCCTCTTTTAAAGAGTATTTCCTTGATGTTGATCTCTCTGAGCTTGTACTCTGTGACTCTGCCCATGAATACATGGCATCATCCATTGCTTCCTCGCTGTTAGGAACATGTTTTAATCGTTCTTGTGTAATGACCTCTGGAGTACTGGATCCAGAATGGCTAGTTAAGATACTTGTTCGAGATGTGCTACTCTGCCTTCTCAAACTTTTTGATGCCTTGTTGCTGAAACTAGACTCTTGATCTCCTTGAAGTTCATAAATCTGTGTCTGGAGTCTGAAAAACCATGCTTCCTGTCGTTGAATAATTTTCTTAAATGATTTGACCCTGGTCTCCATGGCCTGCAATAATAAAAATTCAAAACATCAAACAAGAAAATAATATAATACTATTACTAATTCAATTTTAATTATACATAACTTTTTTAATTAATAAACTATCCTTACCGTCATCTTAGCTTTTGACAAACTCTTAACACTCTCTAAGTAACGCTTCTGTTCCATGATGGACAATTCCTGCAAAAAAAAAGAAATATCAAGTAAACAAAAGGTAATACTTTATTGTCATGAACATTTTTGAATTACTAATTTTAATATAAACATTATAAATTATTCATCAGAATGTGAAAGATTACATGATCTCACAATGTCCTAGAAGCAACATCATCGAAACAGTAGTAGAACTGAGTTACAAAACAGTAAGACTTGCTTGATCTCTTAACAACGTTAGCAAAAGTATGAAAAAATTAGTAAAACAAAGTGTTAAGATACCGTAAATCCCCGAATTGAAGCCCAATGGAAATGAGAAGAAGCCCATCTCGAATTGAAGCCTCCTTTTTAGTTCACAAAATTAGCCTCGAAAAGAAGCCCATCTAAAAATAGCATAGGCTTCTTTTTGAAATAATACAGTACATACACTGTACATGAATTTCAAAAAACAAAATAAATTAAAATCAAGCTTGGTTACACAGTAGTTTAGGTGATTTAATGCCAGTTAATATACTCCATGATACAGATTGATGTTACAGTGACCTTATTTATTGTTTTATAGTACAAATTCCCAAAATTTACACCATTCATTTTGAAAAGAATCCTCCCTCTTTACTCTGCAAAAGTAGCCTCGAAAAAAAGCCATCTCAAAAAGAAGCCCATCCAAAGTTCGCAAAAAAAAAACAAAACAAAACAAAAGAGCCCAGAGCTTCAATTTGAGGTTTTACGGTAGTGTAAATTAATACAGGTGTCTATACAACCGAAGCTTACTCTTACTTTAATAAAAACAAACAGCAAAACTAGATTTGAACTCGTCACTGAGGACGAATTTGGTGATCCGCCGCACTTTGACCCTCATTAAGTGCGTGCGGTGCGGATTGAACAATTTTTAAATGCTGAAAATGGCCTAAAGTATACGCTAATTCAGTTTTTTAAAAAAGAGTAATTTGGAGCATTTTAAAAGATTTATTTATGCGTACGCGCAAGTCATGACGCACATGCACATGGTAATGTCGCAGAATGTTGACTCCTCATATGAGATATAAGTATCAACTCTCATTGACAAACGCCTGTTAGTGAGGGATATTATCATTCATAATATTTATCATATATAAAAATTCAGTTTTTTAGAAATTCAGATGGGATTATGATGACGTCACAATGTCCGATCGGCCAATATGATCTATAAAATCATATCTACAGCTCATGTGCTTTCAGAATATGTAATAAAAATGGGGGCGTGTCACCTTTCATCCTAAGGAGATATAACTGGTTAAAAATAGTCCTGATTTTAGCATACTTTCACTGTATGTCGGCACAAACGTGCGCAAGGATTCCTGTTTGATGCGCACATACTGCATTGTTGTTGGCCCTAAGATGACCAAAAAGAATGTAAATTTGTGAACACAATGTCAGGAACCAAAAAAATGTAAAAAAACGTAATTTCTAGCTTTCGTACGAGCTGCGGGCGTCAAAATGCGCGCGTGTAGTGGAAAATCTCAACAAATTTTGAAATGCTCAAAATGGCCTGAAACGTGCTCTAATGTAGTCAAAAAGTGATTTTGAGCATTTTAAAATTTTGACACATGCGTGCGTGTGAACGCGCACACAAAATATTTCGGTACATGACATATCAACTTGACCTGAAGTTTATGCCCACTGAATATGATTGAGAAATGACAATTGATTAGGATGATATGGTCGATAATGTAAAAATAATGCAAAATTGCGCGTAGATGATGTCACGCATGACTGAGCACGTTGAAAAGCTTACTGTGACTATTCCAGGCCAAGCCAAATGTTCGTTGAAGCGGAAATGTTCATAGCTCATGGCAATTTCGAGATATCGTGCGAACAGAGAAAGGAAGAAAAATAAAAAGATGATGATGATGACCTCTGACAATAACAAGAGGTGATCCGCTGGTGAAGCGGATCACCAATAATGTAGCATTAATCTCTGAATTAATTAAAACGGTAGTAGGCTTTACCTTTTGTTCTTTAGCCTGCTCTAATTCCACTATCTTGGCCCTGGCAGCCTCTAATTGTATACTCTTTTGCTTGCACACATCCATCAAGTCTGATTAAGAACAAAATACAATAATGAGCAATTTATCACAGCATCCAATAAGAGTTAGCCATCAGGGGCGGATTACTATAAGCGGTCTTTAGACGGTCTTAACGGTTAGCCGGCTATAATCGTGACATCAATACTGGTCTATGATTACAGACTATTGCAATACCGCAGTCTAACCAGTTAGCCGTCTTAAATTTTAAAGCCTACTCGGAGGGCGCTTAAAACGGTCTTAAATCATTTTCATCAAGGCGTTCTGCTAATTAATTCAACAGTGCAATGGGAAGACCTAGGCCTAGATCGCCAAAGTCGGAGAATCGAATGACGAGTATTTCGCATGCTTCTCAGTGTCTGTGAAAATAGGTCTACGTTTATTTACATCCATTTCGATACATTTGCGTGCGTCGAGCACGCATTATGTCGCCCTTAATCTTACGTTACCAGGGAGTGCTGGTTTGCGTTTTCAATACTCAAAGCGGTCTTAGGGAAGACTGTTTTATAGCAATGGTCTTAGAGGAAATGACTTTAGTAAGACTGTCTAAGTGATAAAGCTGGCTTTATTTGAGGAGTTAAGACTACCAGTTAAGACCTTTTTATAGCAATTCGCCCCAGAATGATTTCTGATGATGACATAATTCCCAACACAATGGCGTGCACTTCGATACTTGGAGTATGTATTGTACTATCCCATCAGAATGTGTTAGTTTACTTTTACTTGTTTGTTCGCTCTGGAAAAATATTTTAAATCTACACTACTCTCTCCAACATACAAAAAATGTACTACAAAGTGTGAGACAGCTGCAGATCCAGATTTCAGACTGTTCACCACTGTGAAGATGAGGATGAGAGATACAAACTTAAAAAGTAGGCCTAAAGTAATTGCAGCACCAGATGATTTAAAGCAAGTTTTAACTTGCACCTATTCACTTCATTAGTCTTTATAGAAATGTTATAGTGTATCTGTTTCAAAACCCTCAGACAACCTGAGCATTAGATTTGCCCATGTGGATCCTGCCCCCATGGAGTGTTTAATATACTCACAACATTACCTCAAAATTGACAAAAATGTGAGTTACATTAGATCATTTTGCTTTCAAACAATTGTTATGTAATCAATGACAAGTGATCAGAAGTTGCAAGAGCATTACCGTGAGAAAAGTAGTCAAGATAGAATAGAGTGAATGGTAACAGCATAAGGTGGAAGAATGAAACAGATAGTCATTATACTGCAACATGTACAATGATTATTTAAGATGCAATTTATTGTACTATACTTACGATGTAGCTCCCTCTTGGATGCTTTCTTGAACATCTGCAGTTCTTCCTTGCCCTTCTGCGCCAATTGCTGATCCTCCATCCTGTGCAGATCTTTCATGTTTACCTCACCCATCAATAACAACTGACGATTCAAAAAATTTACCTGCAACATAAAATAAATAAAACACAATCCATAATGGTCCACACACTTGTGAGGGAGAGCTAGGCCAGCCTTCGGAAGGGAGGCTCAAAACATTTCGTCAAACAGACAAAATGAAAATTTAGGAATAAGTACATATGAAAAAGAAAAAATATAGGTACTTTACGTGTGATTCAGTGAGCTTTGCAACGCATCTATATTCAACAGGAACCAAAAGTTATTAGCTGTGAACCAATCGACAGACCAGTATCCAGAAGGATACAATGGGTGTGTACACTTCCCACCATCATAACAAAATAAAGGTTTTGTAATTGTTTTTATGATGATGTGTACACACCCATCAATGAAAAAGGTTTGCTATCTTGAAGCATAAAAAATCATTATTAAAACATACATAAAATCAATGTTAAGTTGAAAGAATCCCAAAGATCTGGGCTACTTCCTCTGACCCAAACTATGCTCTTGGAAGTATTTGCTAGCCCTATCCTTTTTATTTTAAAACCAGCAAAGTTAATTTTGTGTCATACAAAAAAGTTGCCTGATTATTTCTGTATATTATATAAAACTGCATCTATTGGCTAAAAAACAACATAAAATTGTCATTACCTCACTCTCTAAATGTTTCTTAACAGCTAATTCCACCATCAAATTCTCCTTTTCAGTTTCTAAAACACAAACACGATTTTCAGCAACCTTCCAATCCTATAAAATACATGAAAAATAATGAAAGGAAAATAGGTAAAGAACATTCACCTTTAATTTGATCTATTTTCAATTTATATTCGCCATTTAGCTTCAAACCTACAATGTTGATAATATGAAATAAATTAGCATTTAATACAATGTCAAGTTTATTAAAAAAAATACAGTAATTATATAATTGTCTTATCCCATCCGAGCAGAAAGCCATTGTTTTTTATCTATTTATTTTTAATCTTCGAACTATACACACCCTCAGTCTCAGTTGCGTCAAGTAATTTTTTTTTTACTTTCTAATTTCAACATCAGTTCTAATTATGTCAATACCTTAAGTCCTGTTTTAGAAACACATAATAAATCTAGTAACAATTAATACAGTGTTATGTTGAAAGATACTGTTTTGTAAAAACCCATAAACATTCAATATATAACAGCTCATGGAACGGACAGTTCTATTACTGCTTAGGGATGAACCAATGCCAGTAGTCTGTTATCCAGTTACATATTCACAAAATACTGTATAAAACACAACACACACAAAAAAAATTAGCCAAACCTTTTTCATTTTCTCAACTTCCTGTTTGTGTTCGACAAGTAGTTTTTGAAGTTCTTCTTTCGCTTCTTGCAACTCTCTAATCATCAGAGTGTTTTTCCTGAAAGAATTTCAAGCAAATAAAGTAAACATGATATTGAATATGATTAGCTAAAACAGGATGACACGCTTAGAATGTTGAAATTAGAATAAATATAACATACTTTTAGCTATTGTAAATTTGTAAAACTGTTGTCAGTCTTACTTTTTCTGTTATCTCATTATCACATGCTGTTAAACATATTAAAACTATTGTGTAAACTATTAAAATACATCTTGATTTTTAAGCGTGTAGGTCAACTCACCCTCTTTCTAAGCCCAAGTCTTTTCTCATCGCTTCACACATAGCACTCAGTTCATCTCTCTCCTTCCTTATTTGTGTGCAGCCACATACCAACTCCTGCTTCTCACGTTGACACTGTTTCAGCTGCATCTGCAATGCACTGTTTTGCTCCTCAAATGCTTTGGCCTGTGACCAAAAACAATTACTAAATACTGCGTAGTGAATTGTTATAAACTCAGCTAACATAAGGAAATGTTGTGTAAAAAGTAAAGTTGTTAGGCCGAAACCTAAGCTGTGAAATCACTGGCTGAAGTGTCAATCTGTCTTTGGCATTTGGCACTAATATGCCTGGGTACAGAGAAAAAGATAACATGTCTTGCCTACTCAGTGAAGGTTTTGAACCACACCAACCTCATGGTTGACAGCCCAAGCCACAATTGTTGGCGCCAACAGCTTTCACAATGTTTAGTGCAGTATGAGAAATATATTTGCTGTGTCAAGTGCCAATGGAATGTTAGAGTTTACTGATTTGTTTAAGATTCTTGTTATTTACAGCATAATCGCTTAATTTTCCATACTCTTAACATAAACTTTTGTTCTATGAATAAGATGTAAATATTTAATCAACATTTTTTTACTAGAACCACACATTACCAAGCCCACCTAGACCAAACGCTTCAGATGCAGAGTGAATTTCTGATGTGATGATTCATAATTTATTCAAAGCTCCTTCCTTCCATTAGGGGACACATGAAGTTCCAGCGTAAAAAAAGAGAAGGCCGAGTTTAATTATTACTAATGCTTAAGAAGTTTTTGTGTTTTATAAATAAACCACTAATATATTATTAGAGGATGCAGAAATAAGCAATTGATATGATGCTTTTTAGTTCTCTTTTGTCACTGGTTAGCATGACACCCATTTTTAGCTCGACTAAAAAATAATAACTGGTATTAGTTGGGACTTTTGTCTAGAACTACCGAATGCTTTAAGAATAATTGATGTTAAAATGTTTTTTAAACACAGATACATCTTACTTTGTGTGTTTTTCTCAGTAGGCGTCTGTTTCTCTGCTCATGCTGCTCACGTTGGTTTCTTTCAAATTGTAACTGTGTGTGTAGTAAGAACACTTGACCCTTTAGTAGTTCAATCTCATCAGCAGGTGGATGTCCTGAGTGATGTAAGCCAAAAATATGTAAATCATAATATGCCAATCACAATAATTTTCAAATTAAATACTATCATCATAGTCATTAATACATTAATTACAATGTAATTCATCTAACACAACATGTAATGATATTGTAGTTGCAACACAGTATGTCAATCATAAAGTTCCTATCATAATTACAGTCATCAATCAAATGACACCAGTCATATGGTACTGTATGTCAATATTACACACCAATCAAAATACAGAAAGTAATATATGGCATGTCAATTAATCAGATGATGATGATCATCATTATCATAACAAAAAAAAATATCAAAGCTTCTCAATGGAATTACTATTTGAATTATACACATTTGATAACAATTTAGTAGTTGATGCTACTTTTGAACTGATAATGGTTGAAGATGGTGATCTTGTTTAAGAATAATTTTTTTTTAATTTGTACCAATGCATGGGTCTATTCAAAATTGAGAATGCTTACCATATGTATTTTTAGAATACAGTAATTAAAAATGCAGTTATTTGTGCAAATAGTCAACACAGGAAGCACAATAGGGTGTTTATTTTCTAATGACTAATGAATGATTGATAATGCTGACACAGTACTCTATATTAGTGACCCTTCCTGTAAACCAAACCAAAAATAATGACCTTTATCACAATTAGTTTTATGGTTTACTGTGCGAATACCAGAAAAAAAAGAGTGTGTTAAGGCTGAGGGTCAATGTTGCCTTAAAAAGAGTTTCACAGTACATCAATAACATTTTATACTGTATGTCAATCATTAAACAGTATATTAATCTTTAAGCATGTTAATTAAAATAAAAGCATCAATCATCATGTCAATCAAAATATATATCATACCAAATGCCAATCATTTTTCTAGACCTAACCATTGTACTTTAATGTACAATTGTTTAGTTTATGTAAAATTCAACTTGTTTAACTACCATCAAGAATCCAAATACGAATATGCAATGCTACCTCCAAAATGAGTCCATCTGATGTTGTTCCGACTTGTTAGAGGAATTCTGAAGAACAAAACAAAATTTAGGTTAGATTATTAGGTTAGGATATTCTTCTTGTATGGAATTTTAAACTCAGCTCAGTATATTGTATAGCCAACTTACCGACTTAGTTCCTTTGAATGGACATTATCACCAAGTTCAATATAAAGATCCAGTAGTTCTGGTGGTGACAGTGGTGACTGCCAAGATATCCTACCAGACATGTCATTGGGTGTTTGGAAGCCATCCATACTTCTTTGGAAGTCACTTGCTGGAGTTGAGTTTACAGAGGAGCTCTGCTTCTGGTACTGGTTTACCATCGGACTGACCATGTTGGGAAATAGATGTAGGTAGGGATTATTATTTGGAGACCTCAAATCAGCAGTGGTAGTGCCACTGTGGTAACCAGACACACTTGGGTAGTCAGAGGTTGAGCTCCGAGCACTTCGTGTATTTGCTGGTGATTCTAAGCTGTCAACAGAGCGGTCTTTGATAGGAGTGAAACGTTGTGACACTGGAACCGACGGTTTATTCCCTTCTAGAATTTGTTTAACATCGAAAGATTTAGCAGTGTATTCACTATCAAGTTTGCTTTCTTTAGAGTCGGTCTCTAGATCATCTGGATCTCTACTAGCATCAACTCTTCTGGATCCATCAACACTGTTGATGACATCTTTTGTTTGAATGTCATTATTACCTTCATTACTATCAGTTCTTTCAAAATCAGCTCTTTGATTATCAATTACATTTTGGATGCCGTCTGTTTCAATATCATCAGAGTATTTAATTGCACTAAAGTTTTTCCATTTACCATTCTTGTTATCATTGTCACTAATAGAGGTTTTCATCTCTAAAATGGGCATTCCAGAATCACCACATCTCCACAATGGTGGATAAGTTTCGTTACGTGTTCTACTGTGATGGCTTTGAAATGGAAAAACTGTTGCCTCACTTTCGCTGCTAAAATGCATCCTAGCAGTACGTTCTAACCTATCAAAAGAGAATGCCATTGGAAAAGATGCGGATGACATACATTCAACCTGAGGACTTTCGTCTTCACTGTTCACAATTAAAGACAATTCTTTGTTGATGCCATCATCTGCGAAAAAAAGCAACAATCTAAACATCAGTATCAAGAACATATTATAGAAGTGTTTCCTAACTCTATTTTTTCATAAGATATTATAAAAAAAAAAAAAGATAAAATATTATTGGTAAAATGTAGTTATGTAAAATTTAAACAAATTTGGAGTATTTGTAAAAATAAGGCAAGTAGCACTTTTGTTGATTAAAAAACATTTTTACTGATAACAATTTATTTTGAAGCTACTAAGCACCTATATACGGCTCCTACAGTAGTTTAGTGGAGTATTTGTAAAGATAAGGCAAGTAGCACTTTTGTTGATTAAGAAACATTTTTACAGATAATTTATTTTGAAGCTACTAAGCACTTATACACGGTTCCTACAGTAGTCACGGACATGCCCAAACACAATTCAGCATAATGATGCTGCTGTTATGGGTTATTCTCTTCCCTTTACCTCTACCTACAGAAGGTGTATTTTGTATGAAATTATTCATTTGTGTTGATCCAGCAAAAAACAATAGTACTCACACTACATTTCACGAACGATCCGTTCGCTTTCTCAAGTAGACTGGTGATGTTATCGCCAGTCTGGTCTGACGTCACCTCGGTGTGAGTACTATTGTTTTTTGCTGGATCAACATGAATGAAAAATTTCATACAAATTATATTTGGATCCAAATGAATTTATTTCAAGATACAGAAGGTGTATGTTTATGTATGCATTTCATTTGTTTATGACACGGATACTACTTAGCATTCCTTTTGTATTAGTGCTTGTACCTGAGTTTTGAAAAGCGCTAATAAGAATATTCATATTGATGATCAAAATCTGAAAACCCATATGACTATTAGAAAAACATGTTTTAAAATACTTTACCATCTAAGCTGGTGCCATCATCTGGTGACAGTTGTTTGATGACTACTTGTAACGTGTTAATGGATACTGGTTCAGCTGATGGTTGACTCTCCACAAGTAACTTAATGCTTGTCTGCGGTTCCGAAAGTTTGATCTCTTCAAAAGATTCATCCTTTTGTGAGGGGTTCTCAAGTTGTTGGCAGTCATTACCTTTTTGAATCACTTCTTTCTCTGCTATTTTAAGCCTTCTAGCAGGTGTGCTGTTGTTAACTGGTGGAAACTCAAATGGATCTGTCTTTTTGTATGGTGTGGAAGGGACAGACTTGCTGCCTTCACTGAATTTAGTTGAATTAGCTCCTGATGAGTTTAATGATGTTATTGACATTTGTTTCTGAAATGGTGCCTTTGTTTTCCAAGATCCTTTTCCACTTGAGATGTGTGCCAATCTACTACGAAGGTCATCTGCAATAAAGGGACGTGGAGAGCCACCTGGTGTAACTTGCGGTGTTGGAGTATTTGCAGCAGGTGTTACCATGCTCCCCACACAAGAGGATCTGACCATACTGATATCTGCATGACTTGTGCTAGGAGATGCAGGTCTTGATAACGGAGGTGTTGAAAGAGGGCACAATTGAGATGGACTAAACCATGACTGATCTGGATTCTCAGTCTGTGGGTCCCTGCTAATCTCTTCAGCTCCTGACTGAATAAAAATGTCCAAGTCTGGGAGATCATCTGTGTTCTCTATTGTGGGCACTGAAAAAAAAATCCAAAAGGAATTTGTTATTAATGAAAGTGAAATTCTAACTATATATTTGAAATTTATATTTTCATTTATTACCAGAAGGCTTTGTTATGACATCTTGACTTGTAATATTTTCATTATCCTCTATGAGTTTTAAATATTGGTAATCATATTTACCTGCAGAAATGATGGGAGAAGAGGTGGGACGTTGACTCTTCTCAAGGTACTGCTTAAGGCGAGATGACATATTGGGATTCTCACTCACTGATGAGACACTTATGAGGGATTCACTACCTCTAAGCTCTGATGAGTAGTCAAGTGAGACCTTAGCACATTCCATCAACACATCATGAGCTTCCATCTTCCTCCATCTTAAAATATTACAATGTCAATGTAGAGGTCAATTAATATAATTCAATGCCACTATCAATTCATATACCCCATGCTACATCCATCATTGTTACAGTAAATTATCAAAAATACAATTTTAATCATTATTATCATATCATTTATATTATAGTCAATCCTGTTCATTATCTTTTCAGCTTTAAACTTTTCCTAACCCAAGCAGGCAATATCACCTCTTAATTATTGACCATTGCTACACGATACTGACAACTGCCACAGGCTGCCAATTTTTCCTGCACATCAATTCACAGTATTTTTGACATGGGGGCAATTACAATCAGGAGAACATTTGTAAAAAGGTAGATATGAAAGTGTCTCAGCATTCCTAGGGATGCAAGGAGATATAAATATCACCATGCTACGGAACAATATAAAAGAAATGACAGCAGCACATTTAAGATTAACTTGTCTTAAAAGTGCCGCCTGTCATTTCTTTTATATTGTTCTTTAGCAGACTAATGCGATTACACATTTTATTCACCATGCTATGGCAAGCTTAGAAACTTGGTTTTGCAAAATTTATTGCTGGATATATTAGGGCGGTCGCTAAACCCTGTCAATTATCAATGTGTTGTTAACATATACTGCAGTACTGTACTTGAAAGTGAGTCCTGTAAAATACAGTAGCTCTCTAAAAAATATTAACAGCAAGGCATTTCTGATCTCACGACTGTAAGAGTAATTTCATTATGAATATTTCCAGATCAAAACTACCACAATATCAAAATTTAATACATAGTCGTAATCAACACTCATCCTCATTACCATCATAATAAATATTTCTTCAAATACTAAGTATCACCATCACTACTATATTATTATATTATTATTATTATTATTATTATTATTATTGTATATTTATATAGCGCATACCTAAAATTCTATGTGCTTAACATTTTGAAAGTAATCATTATTTATTTTATCATTTAATTGTTAATATTCAATATCATTCTAATAATAGGTTAATATCATCATTATAAAAAAAAATCATCATATTGAAATCATTAATACTATCATCATATTACAATATTTAAAATAATATCAAGATGTAAAGTTGGTTCACCTTGATGCATCTATTTCTTTGCTGTATGTATCTGTGATCAACCTTGGGTGAATGCGCATCCTTTGAAGCAATGGCTACATACAAAATAAAAACACAAAACTTTATTAATAAAATTTTCAATCTTAATCAATTGGAAATATATTTTATCCCAGCTATCAATAAATAGTATTTCCAAAAACACCACTGACAAAACTAAGTTAACATAGGGCCTACAGTTCAAAATAATTGTGCACTTTGTTATTAGACACTTTCCACTAATATACATACAGTACCTGATGCTTAGAAAAGAGAAGTTAACATTTATTGCATAAATGCTCGTAATCAATATTTATATTGACTTGGCAAGGCTACAGTACATGAATTGTCATTGATAGAGGATGATTAGAGAGTGTTTGCATGCATCGTGGCCAAATAAGTTAAAAGTTAAAAAAAGGAGGCAGTCCAGACTTAATAGAATACAGTCCAGCAAAAACATTTTTTTATTTGGCCTAACTAGCTTTATGTTTTAAGAATAAAACTTTATCTTGCAATAATTTGTAATTAAACTCCTGTATTTTATGAAGTTTAATAAAAAATAGTGGCTACTTACCAGAATCACCTTATTGAACTCCTTTGTTTTATCCTTGTAAGAGACTTTGAGGAAATCAACAAAGTTGCATGGATACATGCCATAGAGACGATGGAATAAGCCATATACAGCAACATTCAAATGCAGCATGTATATCTCTGGAACATTCCCTACAGAAGTAGAAAGAATACTAGTCAGTTGTGGCGGATGCAAAAAAATGGCATTTTAACAATTTTAAGCTACAGTAACTAGTACTGTGATACATCGAAAAATGACAAAATTTATGCATAATTTCCTAGACTTGAAATAATTTAACACACCAAACTGTATTTCTTTTGATTTGTGTTACGGTGTAAGTAAAAACAGTAGCATGTGTAACTCCATCACGTATCTATGTGACCAAGTACATTTGCTAAAGCAAAATACTATGATTAAGCTTGAGGCTAGATTTCATCTTTACTTTTTGTTTATTTTTTGTTAGCTTTTTATCAAACAGAATTGTCTGGCTGGTGACAAAATGACTTTGTTAAACTCTGCTGCAACAATGTTTTTGAAGTTTATTATTCTCTTTTATTTAATCAATACGACTCTGATTTGCGAGCCTCCCTGACTCAAAGAGATCATACTTCAAACTTTCAACTACAATTATACGAATATTAATCATAATTATCAGCGCTAACCTTTAGCTTAACTTGAGGCCTAAAATACAAATTAATATCCTAGACCAACGGGTCTAAGAATGAACATATAGCGTAGAAGCATCTTTTACAAATATGGTGCAAAAACCTCAAAAACCAAACCTACCTAATAGAAACCGTATGTGGAAAAACAGACTACTTACCTGGTTTTCGAATATTCCAAGCTGCTAATCGAGAGAAAATCTGGAAAATGTCGTTGAGGTATGGACTGACCAATGATGGGTAGATAGGTAGTAGTGTTGTGATGCTCAAAACACCGGACATTAACACAGGTACACTGGTGTCAACCTAACAATGATTATGATGATAATACTCATTTAATCTTGATAACATGACATTGATATTATGATGAAGTATCTAAAGCAACTATAAAATTCCATACAATGAATAATAAAAAATATGATTTTTTTTTTCTCCTTTACTTCCCTAATTTATTTATCAATAACACATCTAATTGTATTTAATGTATGTGATGACACCCATTGGCAGTTGACTTCATAGAGACAATTTACAATGCAGTAGCAAAAACGTAAATATCATGATTAGATACATTAGTTTCCGGGAAACATTATTTTGCAAACACGTTTGAGTGCATGAGACCATCTCAGTTTCTGGCAGACTCCCATAACTTCACATATTTATAGCATTCAAAATATGATCATTCTTCTTTACCTTAAGTAGCTTAATTACTGATTGGAAAACCGGAGCCTTGAAAATCTTGTGTAGCCAGGAGGGTTGGCGTTGTATAAGGCACCCTAGCACAGTCAAACTTTGAAGCACTGTTGATGGCTGTTTTAGATACTCATTCAAACGATCCAACAAATGCTGAAAACGAAAAAATACAATTTATTACAGAGTATTCAGGTACACGTCTAGTAGGGTAAAACATCACTCCTATGAAATTTCCTGACGCTGCTGCAATACCCACTGCTACTTCAGGACCGGATTCAATACTAAGCACAAGCTTGGTGGTCTAGTGGTTTTGACACCACGCTAGTTTTCTGGAGGTTGTGGGTTTGAGTCTCATCTGAATCACTTTTGGTAAAGTACTGAGTATTCAAGTATGATAGGACAGATAGCACATCACGCCTATGAAATTTCCTGATGCAAAGAACATTGTACTAAGTTTAGGTTAGTTGAAAATATTAGTATTTAATCACTTGTCTTTATCAACACCAGATAATTCAATAGTCTTGAACAAAATTGTGATGCCACCCACACAGTTCAAAGTGACCATATTTTATACATTACTTAAGCAACATTAGTACCTGAACATGTGACATTAACATGGCATTATATCAGGCGACATCTGTACCTTATCATGTGGCTCTCGAACTCCTGAGATCAGATCTAAAGCTTCCCTTGAATTGGTCCGGATGAAGTAGTCCAGAAGGGAATTAACAAACTTTGGCTCCGACCCTAAAAACAATAATAATGCATTTTATTCTAGCTTTTAAAAAGTCTATAATATATATTAATGCTTGCGGTACACCACGTAGTAGTTCTGAAGAACTGTTGCTGTTGGTTGAGAATATCTCGACGTTTTGATTGAGTTGCGTCTTCAGAAGAATAATATCTGTGGTATTATATTATTTTCCTGAAGACGATTGAAGCAACTCAATCGAAACATTGAGATATTCTCAAACAACAACAGCAGTTCTTTTTAGAACTATCTATGTGGTGTACCAAAAACATTAATATATTATTACTTCGCCATGCAAACCTTCAAACAAAAAATCTATATTCATGCTATACTTTACTATTCATTGCTACCAGGTTTTTTTTAAGTTGGCTGTGTAACTCGAGGTTTTCATAACTTGATTTTGTTGATGACACTTCTTTTCAGCTAAAGCTTGGTTTCCATAGCATCGCTCACCCTGGTTCAACGTGCCAATTGCGTTGCAAATGAATTGGGGTGCTTCCTGATTGGTCAGGGCAGCTAGCAATGCATCCTTATTCATCTGCAACGCTATCGGTAAAGTTGAACCAGGTTCGACCTTCCAAACAACTGTCAGGGACTGTCGCCGATAGCGTGACCAATTCTATGGAAACCAAGCTTAACACTGTAAACAGCAAGTTAAACAACATTCAAAAACTTATTGTCCTGTCCATCTTGATCTATACAACTTTCAATATTAAATTACTTATCTTTCAGAAGCTGTCCGACAGAGGGACTTTAGCTCGTACATGTAGGCCCGAACTGGAAGAAAGGTTTGAGAGGGGTTCCCCCTCCCAAATGAGATATTTTTAAGAATAAGAACCTCTGGATGGTTGGAAATGGCACAATCAGACTGTGACAGACAAGCGTTGGCTTGGTGTGGGCCATTTTATACATTTTATGGTCTGCCTGCCCGACGAGCTCTGTCCGACGGAGGGCCTTGACCTGTCAGGTGAGGTCTTAAGCCACTGTTATGCTATGCATCAATTGGCCCTCTTACCAGAATTGAGGACATTCTGTATCTCTTCTTTGATGTCTTTGACAACAAGAATGCTCTCGGATTCCAACAGATGAAAGTAATCAGCCTGTTCAGAGCTTGAATGATACTGTGCCATGTTGTTTTTCACTTTCTTTCTAGCATATTCTCAGTTTCTAAAAACACACACACACAAAAAAAAACACCATCAATCAGTAGACCGAATTAGTCACCAAAGACGATGTCATCACAATTTCATAGAGTGGGTACAAAAACATAAACATTCCCCAAAGTTGTATTGTATGCATTGAGCGGGATCGAAAGTGGTGTTATTAAATTGTCTAAAATGTAATGAATTTAGATTTTTATATAACAACATATACATTTTGACTGATTCATAGATTCATGAGATTATATTTCCATTCAGAATAAAAATATGAAGAATTTCGAGAGCCCTTCTAGGGACCTACGGTAGGCCTATTGCTTGGGCTTGGTCTACTGCGTGACTCGCCACATCAATTCGAAGAATATAAAGAATTTGCTAACAGTAGACCAGGCCCAACTAGGTTCGGCCGAGCTGACTAGACAAAGTTGTCCTAAATAATTGTTGGCCGTGCAAAAGATGGCTGGACGTCTAAGTACCCTGATGTTGGAAATATATATTAATAGTATTCTATCTTGTGCATCCAATAAAAAGCTTAATATTAAAGAAAAGAATATGTTGCTGTTCAGTTAGGCTTCGATGCCAAGCAGGAACCACATACTCAGCAAGGGGATGAATGAAGCCTATAAAATAGTAATCAAATCTTCAATAGCCAGGCTAAATCGTTTAAGAATGGTTAACATAAATAGACGTCCACTGACTCGTTTGATTATCTGGTCAACATGTGGTTGCCATTTCAAATCGTTTGAAATCCTTAATACCCAAGATGTTAACAGCGATAGTACGGTAGGTTTAAGTTGCTTATCTAATAGTTTTAATGTATCAGCTGCATGAACCGTAAGATTTGGCAAATGTGAGATCCATATACATACATTTACAGTATCATGATTAAGTTTCATATTATTGTTATTCACCCACTACTCAAGAGAGTCCAAATCTTATTGTAGCGTTGAGATTAGGTTGGACGGTGTAAGTATTTTCAATTATGATAAGATTATCTACACATTTAAGTCCCAATTTATTAGTTCCATACAGTAATGCAGCAACATTGACTTGGGCTAAGAAGGTGGCAGGACCAAACAGAGTACCCTGCGGCACACCTCCTTGGAGTTGCAGCCAGGAAGACAAAGTATTCTGATACCTCACACATTGAAAACGCTGTGAGACAAAATAACTAATCCATGGCAAGATTGATAGTCTAGCACCCAAATTAATTAATTTTGGAATTACAATATTATGATCAACACGGTCGAAAGTTTTGCTAAAGCGAGTTTTTACAATCCTAGAAAGTCTTTTGGGATTTTCTGCATGTTCATAGATGTTGTTCAGCAATTCAACAATGTGTAGAGTTGAACGTCCTTTACGATTACCAAATTGGTTGTCATCAATTCTTGGTCCAATATCCTGCATAAGCCAGTCAATGACAAAAGATTCTGCTATTTTAGCAAAGTGATCTGTCAAAGAAACTAGGCATAGCTTATCCCAAGTGGGCGGATTAGATTTTGGAATAGGGACGACTATAGCTCGCTTCCATTGCTGGGGAACAATACATGTACCTTCACAGAACGATACATTTAGCATGTCAGCTAATTTCATAAGCAAACACTTGTATAATCTTAGCTGGTATACCATCAGGGCCACCAGCTTTCTTAATATTAATTTTAGAAAGTCTATCATAAACAGTCTAAGGGTGTACTTCCAGTACAGGGGCTGGGGCTGGACGAAAAGCAGGTAAGTTTATGACAGAATGTGGTGGGATATCTCTCCCGAATAGATGCCAACTGATTATTGATGAATTCTGCCATCTCTTGGACACTATTTCTATCAATGTCCAGAGGAGGAACAATTGTTTTTTTTAAATTTATTATTTGTCATCATAATTCAAATTTCTCTATACCAGGTAGCGGGTTTAGAACCCTGTTATGATAATATTCCTTCTTGTCAGCTATAATTGCTTGTTTAACTTTGTTCCTAAAAAAACGCCAAAGTGGAGGTCCATTGAAAGAATAAATTTGTTGTCTTCTCCGTATCAATCCCTTGGTATTAGAGGACATCCAAGGCTTCTCACAAATATGAAGCTTAATTTTGCGAACAGAAAAATACTTAAACCGAAAGGTCCACTGATTAATCTCAGATAAGAAAGTATAATACATACTCCAAGTATTGAAATACACGCCATCGTGTTGGGATTCAATATTTCGACATTAATTATGTCATCATCAGAAATTCGCAAAATACGGTGATTTTAGGTGATTTTTAACTACTTGACCGTGTTTTTTTTTTGGGAGGGGGGAACGGTTGACGGGGGGATGGGGCGAGAGTATTTTTTTGAGGAGTGCCCCACCCCGCGCCCTCCCCTAGATACGCCACTGCCTCTGCTGCCAATCAGGTTATTTGTATTACCAGACATTCTGTAATCTCAATAAAATTTAAAATAAATTAGTTTGCCCACACACGACCGGTATAGAGAAGAAGCTTGTATTAGGCCTATTTGTTAAATGTTCAGGAATAGGAATTACTTGAAAAGAGGAAACTGTGCTTCCATCAAATTATATCCCAGTTTTAATCAATATAATGATAACCATGATAATGATTTTAATTGTAAAAATATTAAATTTATTTCAGTTACATCTGTTCTGTTCAGTTACATTCGGTTTCCAGACAAATGGGTGCCCTCTTTTGAGAAATCCTACCAGGTACCAGGGGCGGATTTAGAGTGGGGGAGGAGGAGAGGCGGCCCCGCCGCCACCCCCTTTTTTGGAAAGTAAAAAAAGAAAATAAATAAAAGAAATATAAGGAAAAAAAATGTATCGCCCAAAAGACCTCAGTGTTTTTTCGGGCCTCCAGAACACAGAAATTTCGCGGACTCCCTCCCTAGGTTATTGTTATCTCGATGGGCCCCACTTTCTACCCCCTAACCCCTTTCAAACCTGTCTCCCCCTTCTTTTTTTTTTTTGGACATCTCTAGATCCGCCCCTGGGTGCTGAGTCGTCTTATCAGGGAGATGTAACAAATTATTTACATCTCCCTGGTCTTATATAATTGTATATTTTTATTTTGAAGAAGTTCGTCTTTGATTGTAGGCTAACGAACCTTTCCCACAGCAGGCCCTAGCATACCCTGCAATTTACCCTACGGTGCGCCATGGGCCCTTGTGGCGGGTGGCACTGGTGTTTGGCGATACCAGCGGGGAAAGTATGAAAAAAAAAAACGTACCTAGATGAATGTGACCCTAATGCGACCCGGTGGTGGCGAGACCTCGATGATGACGTATGTTATTTGTTTATGCAGCTAAAGCTCTGCACGTCCGCCGCGTTTATCACGATTAGCGAATACGGTAGATTAAATTGGTGGATAAACATCATCATGTGATCCAGCCTGTACATTTTTCTAGACCATTTTGAAAGTAAGAGGTACTTATTTTATTTGGACTTTTTTCAATGTAGTAAATGCGTATTTAATCTTCTTTATAGAATGGTTAGACCTAGGCCTATGTCTGACTGACACTAGCCTAGGCTAGAGCCAGACAATAAGAGGCGGCCTACTAGTAGTACTAGATAGACCCAGCCGGCCTAGTCTGGCCCACCCAGGGCGCTACTACTAATAGCTAGACAGGCCAGTAGAAGTAGTAGTATCGCGCTAAGATATAGTAAGTCTCATTCAGGCCTGCTGCTATGTAGGCCTAGCCCTAGTAAATTTGAACTACTGTACTACATACTACAACTGTGCTGCACAGATGTCTGCTGTCTGTAGTATAGAGGCACAGGCTAGAGCCTAGCTAGGCCAGTAGCTAGCTAGGAGGGCTACAAGGCCTACTACTACTAGGCATAGCTGGGCTACGTATGTACAGGCGCAGCAGATTCTCTGTCGACCAGAGGCTTGCCTCGGTCTTTTATTGTAGCCTCCCGCAAAGAGGAGCAAAGGCTAAGCTCCGAAGAGGCTATTGTTTTTGCCTATGTTCTTCACGTTGTCGTCATTGGTCGTCATTGTTGTCGTTGTTGTCGTTGTTGGTCATTTGTTTGTTACTACCACGATCTAAAAGTTTGGAAAGTCTAATTGGTTTTAAACTTGGCAGAATGCAAGATTGTAATAAGGAGCCTATTGTTTTCGGTACATGTGTGAATATGCTAATTGCTCATTTGCATAACTAATATTTGACTAATCTGGTAATTTAGACTAGTTACCACGATATCTGAAGTTTGGTAAGTCTGATTGATTTAAACTTGGCAGAATGCAAGATGGTGGTAATAAAAAGACGGAGCCTATATTGCTTTTGGTACATGAAATTTCGATATGGTTTTGTAGTCAGATTTGTGAGAAAAACTTCAGCTACCCGTATTTCTCGACTGAGACGTCAATTTGTATGGTAAGGAGATGGTGCTACCCTTAATTCGTATTAAGGGAATTTACACCCACAAACCTTTTAGTTATTAATATTTTGGTTATAACAGAAAATTTTTATTTTTTGGTGACGTCACACTCACACTATAGTTAGCATGCATACGTCATAAGCTACATGACGTCCCCTTTTCCTGGTAAGGCAAACTTTCCCGGCGTGCTTTTTTCATGGATAAACGAACACCACTGCTTTGCACATGGATGCCTTGCCTAGCTAGAGCCGCATTGTTAGCATTGTATAATACTTAAACAAAGTACGTCTGCAACTGAATTATTCTTGGCCCTAGTAAATTTTTTTTTCTTATTTTAATTTATTTCTTTCGAAAGTGTACTTTCTATCACATATAACTGCACTGTCTACTTAGACCTAAGGCCCTAGTCTTATTATGACTCATCGACCCCCGCTACACAGTACATCTAGGCTAGCCCCCCCCCCCACGCTACAGTACAGACGTTTGCTAGCCAACAGAACGTGATTGCACCTTCCTTCCCAGGTGTTCATGTAACATTTGCATATTATTAGCTAACCAGCTGCGTGTATTTCTTTTTGAAAATGAGTACCGCAGTGTACTAATTTTCACAAAGCATTTGCATCCCCTCTTGGAAAGAGGGAACTTCAAAATAATTCGCTAATTAATCACCGTAATTTAGCTTACATTTATGCATGGAGGGAGCACTTAAAATGTACAATAATCTTCTTACTACCCGACAAACCCCAAACTTTATTCATGCATTACATAAATAGTTTCTTCTTGCTGTACTCCAGCATCACTGGCGCATGGTAACAACCAACTGACTGCAGTCCATTTCCGGTCACACATTACTCTCCATAAGGCAGCACCCCCTAGTTCCGTCACCTCTGGGTAGAATGCAAGATGGTAATAAGAAGACAAAGTCTATTGTTTTTGGTATGTGTGTGAATACAGTATGCTAATTGATCATTTGCATAATTAATACTTCACTAATCAGGTAATTTAGGCTAGTTACCACAATAAATAAAGTTTGGTAAGTCTGATTGGTTTCAACCTTTGCACAGTGCAAGATAATAAGAAGACAGGGCCTATTGTTTTTGGTAGGTATGTGAATATGCTAATTGATCATTTGCATAATTAATATGTCACTAATCAGGAAATGCACAATAAATACCATCATAATTCCTAAAAAAGATTTCCTACTTAGTTGAAATTGTAATATGTCATATGTCTTTACATTGCAAAAAATAGTGATTCAATTTGCAGTTGCAATTAAACTTTATATTTTTTTTAATTAAAGAACTTGATTAAATATCGGATTTATTGCAAATTGCGTTGCTGAAAATGTTTCAAACTAGTCATGATAACGGCTTGCGCAAGTTGCCGTGCTGCGCACTACTAGGCACCTTAAATTATCGTGACACTGGCCGTTGCCAGTGACAGTTTGCTGTGCTTCCTCCCTAAGTAGGCCTAGGGCCTATGCCTATTAGTATTATACAGTTTGTTAGGAAATAGTCAGTGCTTTGCCTAGAAGAGACTATGTTACAGTTTCCACCATGGCCATAATACTCAACCTAAACAAATTCAACATTTTCAGAATTGCAGTGGTTACCTGGAGGAGAAAAAAGTGATTTTTCAAATTACAGTAAGACTTGCAATGCACTCCAGTACGCAAGTCAGTCCAAAAGAAAAAGAAAAAAAAACGCACCGATTCACCCCGGAATGTGGACATCACTCTACTTTCTGTTGATTTGCATGTCCCACCAAATGTTGACCTATTTGGACCTCCCTGATAACATTTAAAGAAAAATTAGATGGAAAGAAGACGTAAAAAGAATTTAGTGAAATCGAATGAGTTAGAGAGTTGAATGAGGAATATACATAATCAAATTACTATTGGCATGCTTGGGCTGCATATAGCATCTAGTGAATCAATCATAATTATTTATAATTGCCTCCAGCCCAGTTTGCTTTCTTATCTGGAATTTTCTCCAGTAATTTTCTGGTATTTTTAACACATTCGCTGCCAGCGACGAGTATACTCGTCCCACAGGGTGTTGCTGAGAGCACTAGGGACGACTATACCTGTCAAAACCGGGGTAACATTATACAGTAGTTTTTATCACTTCATTGTTATGCATTGTAAAACCACAGACTTAACGGCTGTTAGTTCGGAGAAGATACACCTAGACCATAATATACAAATAAACGTACAGTATGTGTGTTTGTTGTGTTATGTTGCCGGCAGTACAAAAGATTGCACAAGTGGGTGTGCCCTCTAAACATATACCAACCCATGCAAAAAGTGGACAAGAAAACTCGCACTTGGCAGAGGCAATAGAAAGTACTGTCAAATTGCCAACAACAAGTTTAATCATCCCCTAATATTTTCCCTCCAATTTTAATATTAGACAAAATATTTTGATGATATGTGACTTAATAACATTTCAAAAAAGTATGTTTGTACATGTATACTTGTTTTGGCACACAGGACAAAACCTAAAATAGATTTAGGCAATCAACGTTTTAAAGCAGATCAACAATAGTGTGTACCATTGTTTTTTTGTGTTAGAGAGGGCCCTCGGGCTTGATCAATCGTAGGGTCAGTATTTACGGAAGTGCAAGTCTATCACATGAATTCAAACTACTAAGCATCCTACGTCCTGTGAAACTTGTGCTGTATTGTGTTGTTTCATAGATTTCTTTGAACGGAAGAACATCCTTCCAGTTTTACCACCTATTCTTCTGAAGTCTAATAGATTTCAGTATGTTTTGGATAATTAACAGTTATCATTGATGATTGGTCTATGAATACCATACTTAATATTCTGCAGAAGACGATTTTAAACATGGTTCACCAGCTCAAATTACACCCTTATTTAGGCCTTTGTTTGCTGGAACAAGGGCATGTGGTTGCAGAGGCCATTTTCCATACTTATCACTGCCTGTACTTTAGGAATTAAAGCAGGACTGAATACATCTGTAAGAAAAATAAAATATATTACATGCCACAGGGACGGCCGAAATATATCGTCTGTTTTATGTGAAAATAACAGATAAAATGATATATTACGAATGGGAAATGCTATCATCTGATTGGTTGTTTATAAGAATGAGGTCAGTTTGCTAACCGCTAACCGATTCTGATTGTTTATCGTTCTCACATGCAGTGCTATTGGTTAAGCTTACGGTTAGATCCTGTTTTGGATCAGAACTTTCTACTCTGAACGAGGCCTTTGTCTTCCTCTTCTTTTCTTTCCGTCTGTCCTATACAATTAACCATTATTTTAAAAACTGAAGGTCTGCCGTATATTAGAATGTTGGAGCTTTGGGGAAATTTACCTTACTGAATCTCAAAGCCAATTGATTTCCATCCTCTGGAAATATAACACCTCTGTTGTAGAAGTAAAGTTCGAGTTATTATTGTCTTTTTTATTTGATCATGGTACAGTACATGATATTCTAAAATCCAACCATTAATAATTTATCCTAGCTGAATTTGCAGAGATTATCCATTCAGTATCTGTCATGATTATTTCAGACTGCAGACTATATTACACCAAGTTCACTTCCATTCACAAACTAATCTCTCTTTTTAAAATATTAAAATATAATTTTGATATTTCTTTCATCAGATTTGTAATTAAGATGCCTAGCAAAAAGATAGCTATCATTGGTGCAGGAGCTAGTGGTCTGACTGCCATCAAATGTTGCCTGGACGAGGGGTTAGTGCCAGTTTGTTTTGAAAAAACCGAAGTAATTGGTGGGCTATGGAACTTCAGAGAAAATCGTGATGGTCAAGCATGTGTCTTCAAATCCACAATCATCAACACAAACAAAGAGATGATGTGTTACAGTGATTTTCCAATTCCGAAAGAATTCCCAAATTTCATGCATAACACATACGTGCAGAAATATTTAGAGTTGTATGCAGAGAAGTTTGACTTGTTGAAGTACGTATGCTTCCGGTATGTTGTTGAGCATGTCACTCAAGGTGAAGACTTCAAGCAGACAGGCCAGTGGAAAGTGAAGTATAAAAATTGTGACAATGACGTCACTTCAACTGAGGTTTTTGATGGTGTGATGGTTTGCAACGGTCATCATTGTGATCCTCATGTTGCCGAGTTTGAAGGCCAGGAGAAATTTAAGGGGAGAATCCTGCACACTCATGACTATATTGACTATCGTGGGTTTGAAGGCAAGAAAATTGTTATAGTTGGTGTTGGTAATTCTGGTGGTGATGCTGCTGTTGAACTCAGCCGACATGCTAAACAGGTGAGAGACACTTTATGAAAATTACATTCAAGGTCATGTCAGTCAACAGTAGGTAGCTAAATATATTTTTATCTTCCAAACTTTATTTTAGTAACCTCCATTTTAAAAGAATGATAGCATTTACTACAAAAAATACTGAATTAATAGTAATATTCAATTCATTATTTACTCAAGGTATTTCTCAGTACAAGAAGGGGAGCATGGGTTTTGAATCGTGTTTCAGACAACGGTCTTCCAGTCGACTTACAGAACAATACAAGATTTAAATCAATGGCACCAGTTTGGCTGGTTAACAGAATTATTGAGAAGCAGCTCAACATGAGATTCAACCATGCCAATTATGGCATTCAACCAGAACACAGGTTTCTGTCACAACATCCAACAGTCAATGATGATCTTCCCAACAGAATAATCGCTGGCTTTGTGAAGATCAAAAGCAATATTAAATGCATCAACGAGGCATCTGTGGAATTTGATGATGGAACGTGTGAGGATGACATTGACATTATTATCATGGCAACTGGTTACACGTACAGTTTTCCATTCATCGATGAATCAGTCCTACAAGTGGATGCGAACCAGACATCGTTGTATAAGTATGTTTTGCCGTTTGGAGTGACCCCATCAACCTTAGCCATCATTGGTCTAGCGCAGCCATTGGGAGCTATCATGCCAATATCAGAGATTCAAAGCCGTTGGGCAGTGCTTCTATTCAAGGGTGCTGTCAAAGCACCCTCGCAATCTAGAATGCAAAAGGAAATTGCTCTGAAGAAAGAGTTGATGGAGAAACGTTATGTGAAATCTCAACGCCACACAATACAGGTAGATTGGGTTCCTTACATGGATGAGATTGCCTCAGAATTTGGTGTGAAGCCAAATCTATTTAAGATCTTTCTTGGGAATCCCAGGTTTGCTTTAAAGTGTTTGTTTGGGCCATGCTATCCATATCAGTATCGACTGATGGGCCATGGAAATTGGGATGGGGCCAAAGAGGCAATGGAGACGGCAATGGATAGAGTAATTTACCCCACAAAAACCAGAGTTCTGAAATCAAATCATAAAGTGGAGTCAGTGGCCTTTAACAAAATGTTAAAGATACTTGTTGTAGCAGTAATTATCGCTGTGGTAATTAAATACTCATTGTAGCATCACTTTTGCTAAATTGGTTAGTTCAATTTCCTGTAGATGAAAGGATAAATGATTCTATGATCAGAAGATTCCAAACAGTACAGACACTAAAATATATCTTCAAGATGACTATCAAACATACAATGAGAAAAGCAAATGTTTCAAAAATTCTCCAAAAAAAAGAAGTAAATTAGTACAGTACATAGTAATTCATATACATTATTATCAAAATGTATATTGATATATAATTGTATTTTTATAATGTATGAATATTACAGTAACATTAAGTGAATACCAGTAATGGTTATATTTTTTAAATTACCAGTAAATATTATTTTAATAATTATATTTACATTTTCAAATTATAAATATGTGATTTTTGTGTCTTGTTATTAAAACATATATATGTCAATATTTGTATTGTATTTGTAAACTCATTTAAGTTTTATCTAATTAAATATTAAAACATTTTATAAATGAATACCAGTAGGTCTAATAAGTTCATTTTTTTATAATGTTATATTGTATTAATTATAACTACCTAGACCTACTGTATTGTTGATAAAAAAAAAAAAAAAAACAACCCACTATAAAATAATACAATATTACGTTATCTACTAATGTTATCTTTGAGGGCCCCAATATTCAAAACATGTGTTCCCTTATTGTTTTGAATAATTTAGAAATAATTAATAAAATTGTATATAAATGTTCATTCAACCATGTGATAAAAGACTTTTATGGAAAAAGATTAGGCCTGTATGCTTATTTAAATTATGAAAATTTAGTAATCCATTGCAAATATACCGTAGGTATCTGGCATTCCATTATGCTTGAGCCTCTTTTTGCATTATTGACCTTATTATGTACTGTGCTATCATATTTCGCGTGTCTATTAAACAAACACCAAAGACCCAAAAACACAAGACTTTCTTTGTCTCACTTATTTGATTCACTGTTTGCAAATAACTGTCTAAAAAAATATACTGTATTGAAATTGTATATTTTGTATATTAAAGTATATTATATTATTAGAAAAAAAAAATAATCCTAATGAAAACATGCTTGTTTGTTGAGGTTGGCCTACCTTTTAAAATTTGTTAAAATGTCAGCACTTATCAAATGAGTTGGTAATGTGTTAGGTTGTGAAGAGCAAAAAATGGCATAAATTGTTATATTAGGAGTTGTTAAATTTCAATAATATTTTAACTTTTTTTTTAATTGAAATTTCCACTCAATAAAATGTCCTAATACAAAAAAAAAAAAAAAACAAGATAATCTGAGATTACAAACCCTAATATTACCAGCTATCTTATCAGGAGAAATGTAACCAAGTGGTAAAGGTGTACGTATTAAGTGACAAGTTAATCGAATGTATAGGGTTCTCCCTCTTTTTTGGGGTTTTTTTTAATTATTATTATTTTGTTATTTTTCTTATTTGTGCATCTATATAATAGTTTATTTCATATTTGTTTCACAATTATTTTTTTAAAAATTCGGACAGCAGATTGTGAGACAGGGACGTAGCCAGGATTTTGAAAAAGGGGGGGGGAGCCGTTATGCGAATTACGTATGACCCCGGCGGGGTCAAATCCACCTGTGAAGTAGCGCACTCTGAACGTTCTTAGGACTGTTTGAGAGGATTAAGTGAAAATTGCAATAGACGCATTATAAATAAGCGCAAAAATAATTATATAATACTGTAAATCAACAGTGGCAGGTCCAGGAATTCGAAAGAGAGGTGAACCAGGGAGGGACTTTCACAGACCGAGGAACCACCCACCTCAGCCCCACCATGGTTGGCGCTGAGGTAAACAAATTTATGATTAGGGCATCTCTAGATGGCCGGAAATTACACTCTCGCACTTCAATTTGAATATATTTTTCTTTTTTTTCCTTAAAAAAATGAAGGGGGGGGGGTGCCTTGAATCCACCTCTGCTCAAAACATTTTTTTATCCAGAATAGTCATAATCACGAAAAATGGACATGAAAAACCAGATCACATCCTAAAAACAAACAGCAGTCACTAAGACATACATCAGGAGCCGACTCGATGGAGTTTATATGTCATACCCAGGGAAGGGCACAGATCTGTTTTGAAAGGTGGAGGGGGAGGGCATTTTGTGAGTCGACACCCACCCCAGCCCCACAATGGTTGGAGCTGAGGTGAGAAAATTGGAGGAAATAGTACCTCTTCTAGATGGCCAGAAATGACACTTTTAGTAAAATTCATCATCATCACATCACCATTAGTCAAAATGAAGCGCCAAAAAAAATTCTCATGATCTTTTATCAGGGATTTTTGACAACCATAGAGATCTTATTAATGTGTGTCTGTGTACCATAGAAAACAAAGCTTAAAAACATTGTCTTTGATTATGTACTTTACATAGTCCTACTTCAAAAACGTGGCTGGGGCTGAGGTGAGAAAATTTGAGGAAATAGTACCTCTCGAGATGGCCGGAAATGACACTTTTATATAGTAAAATTTATCATCATCACATTACCATTATAGTCAAAATGAAACGCCAACAAATTCCTC